ATCAGACGAATCAGATGAACATATTTCACACCTCTGATAAAGAAACATGATGAGACCCTGAATGAGTCCTAAAAAGACCTGCACTGGGGACCTTTAATTTCAGTTAAGCTCTGAGGTGGTGACTTGATGATGCAGAACTTTTTATGGGGTAAGGAAGATGGAAGTTGGTTAGAGTTGCAGAATGATTGCACAATATAATGCAACAAACATGACAATTTAAGTTGAATGTTAAATGTAAAATGAAGTGCATAAACTTAAATACTTGCACAATAGTGGGATCCCAGCAGTACCAAAATGTTGGTTGTAACAGATCTATGAATAGATAATCTCAGTGCTAAGCAGCAAGTAAAATGTTAGGAATTTGGGGAGGGGGGGAGACACGGGACGGGACATGGGACAATAACAAAACCAATTGCTGTCTATATAAAAATCTGTGTTGTGCATATACCTTGAATACTGCATGTAATGCAGATTTTTACATTGCAAAGTGTGGTGGGTTGACCCCAGCCAGCAGCCAAGCACTCAGAGAGTTGCTTGCATACTTCCCTCCCCAGCATCCCGTGGGAGAGAACAGGAAGAGCAAAAGCAAGAAAACTTGTGGGCTGAGGTAAAGACAGTTTAATAGGTGAAAGTAAGTCACAAATCTAAAACACAGCACCACATGGGCTGCTACGAAGAAAGTTAACTCCATCTCAACCGGACCCAGTACACAAAGATACCGGTAGATCTGGAGAATCTTAAAGAAGGGTAATGAGGAAAAGATAGAATAGCTTCTATGTGGAGAGTGACTTTTTTTTTTTTTTAAGTAGATCCTTCTTTGTAGAAAAGAGGGGAGGAAGGAAGAGAGAGAATTTGTGTAGGAGCAACTGTTGTCTGTCTCTTGGTATCACTTGAGATTGTACAGTTACTATTACCAACAGGATAAGAGGCAGTGGGCACAAACTGAAGCATGGGAGATTCTGAATGTAAGGAAACACTTTTTCACTGTGAGGGTGACCAAGCATTGGAACAGGTTGCCCAGAGAGGTTGTGGAATCTCCCTCCTTGGAGATATTCTAAAGCTGTCTGGACATGGTCCTGGGCAGCCTGTTCCAAGTGACTCTGCTTGAGCAGGGGAGCTGGACCAGATGACCTCCAGAGGTTCCTTCCAACCTCAACTGTTCTGTGGTTTTGTGAGGTTCAGAACTGGAAGCGGCACTTTGTATGTGGATATGGAAATCTTTGGCATAAGATGCTGTCAATGGTTGATAGTCATCAATAGATTTCATGAAAGGGAGGGAAGAAATAAAACTACACTTCCAGGTTGAAGTCCTTGAGGTGTCCTGATAAAGGGCTGGAAGCTGAGTGTATTCTGGGGCAGTGTCGTGTGCTTGGCTTGCTCTTGAACTCTTCCCTAGGCATCTGCTCTTGAAGTGAGGATATTTAAATTAGTCAAAGATCAGCTTTACCAGATTAGGGCAGCAGCCTGATCTCAGGGAAGTTGGGCTCCCCTAATGATGTAACTAAGTAGAAGGAAGAAGGAGGTACAAAATCATATTAGATCCCTAGTGTTGCCCACAACATCTGAAAGCCAAAAATGATGTTAGAGGAGAATAAACCGGATTGATTAAAACAGTGTTGCTGCGTCTTGTTTCTTTAGATGATTGTACTAATATACGACAGTATTGTGCAAATTTTTGTCCAATTTGGACAATGTTAAAGAAGGGATTAATTACAGAATTGTTAAGGTTGGAAAAGACCTTTAAGATCATTGTCCCAGCAGCAGAAGTTTGGAGGCTGAGACAAACCTTTTCCCAGAAGGGGGAAAGCATAGTGAAATGGAACTGAATGCTGTTGCATGTGGTAT